GTGCAGGCAGAGCCAGGGGTCCTGCCCTTCAGGCAGCCCCTCCCAACCTAGGCCCTCGGGGGTCCCCCAACAACTGCAGGGTGAGGGTGGAATCATACCAAAATGAGTCCAGGTAACGGTGGGAGGTGGGGTGCCACTGATCTTGCAGTCGAAGCGGGCAGTGCGGCCCTCCAATACCTCCATGTCTTCCAGCAGTCGCGTGAACAGTGGCGCCAGCGACGGCCGCACGGTCAGCCGGGCGCTGCAGGTCAGCTCGTCTGGGAGCAGAGTGGGCAGCGTTGAGGCAAGGAGGACCAAGGAGACCCAGGCATCTGGGGTAGGTCCTGCCTTAAGCTGGCAGGCAACCAGAACCTGGGCAAAGTCCAGCAAAGGCTTTGGGCATGGGGGGTGGCAGAGTGAGACCATAGGTCAAGGCCCAAAGACCAGGTCTTCTCAGGAGGGTGAGATCAGCAAGGGTGGGCAGCAGGCTGGGACCTCTGTCAGAGCCCCAGGCCTGGCCCTAGTTCTGCCCTCCTTCCCTCATCTGCCAAGTCCCTCTCAATTGCCCCCAGACTAGGAACAGTTGTGCTCACAATGCCTCCCACATGGCTGAGACCTCACAGAGAATCTTCCGGAGCAGCTAACAGTTCCTTATACTGACCTGATGCTTCTTCCTGCTAACAACCCCCACTCCCACCAGCTTCACCTTGTGTGCTCATTACCACGACCTGGCGAGGCAGGTGCCGGTCAGTGCTGCTCTTCACACAAGGGCAGGACCAGGTCAGAGATGCCATCCATAATAAGAATGGCCAGCAATTACAAGGTGCCAGCCTTCATTATCTCATTAATCCTACGGTCCCCATACGGACGAGGTGTTATCACCCTCTCCTTGGCACAGATGAACAATCTGAAGCTTGGAGAGATGAAGTCACTTGTCCAAAGTCACGTGGTTGGTAACACCAGGCAAGCACTGGAACCCAAGTCTGGCTCTTTACACCTCAGCAGACTTGTCCCCTCGCAGGAACAGCCAACACTGACATAGCACCTTCTCTGTACTAGGTACTACCGAGGCAGGTGTACCGCACTAAATCCCACCCCTGCAATCCCCCAAGGTGGCAGCACCCCGTTTCCTGCATCTTATTCTGCACCCAGCCCTTCCACCACCATCCCTTCCCTCCAACTCCTGGGCACCCACAGCAGCCCTAGGGCCTAAGTGGGTAGTTACCTTTGGCCGTGCTGAGCTTGCAGGTATAGACGCCACTGTCGTCCTCATGCACAGAGGTGAGCAGCAGCTTGCATTTCCGGCCATCGAAATGCATCTTGCATTTGAGCAGTGCGGGCTGCAGCAGGCGGCCGCGGCACAGCCAGTCCACCTCCACGTCAGCAGGACCTGCCACCAGGCACTCAAACAGCGCCATCTCCCCGGCCCCCACGTCCACGTCCTGCAGGGGGGCCAGCACGGCTAGGGACCGGCTTTCAGGGTGTGCTGGGGGGACAGCAGCCACAGGGGGCACGTGTGGAGCAGAGACACACAGGAGGAGGGAGACACACACACGCACACACAGACAGACAGACAGATAGACACAGAAAGAGAGATGCATTTTGTTCCTCTAGAGACAGGGAAAGCCCACCCACCCGGCCAGGACAGCAAGCGGCTCCTGGATCTGGATTCAAGATGGCGACTCAAGCTGGGCGAGGGAGGGTGGCCATGAGAACAAGGGGGATCTGAGGGAGAAGTCACCACAGGGCCATGTGGTGGCAGAGGCGGCGGCGGAAAGAAAACACACAGCACACCAGCTGGGTACAAACTGGACTTTATTTGAGCTAAGAAATAGGAGTTTCTGAATATCCACATCCCCACTACAGAGCCCCCTGCTCCTGTGCCAAGCCTGGTTCACTCCCTTGCTCCCAGACAGAGGATGGGGGCCCCAGATGGACCCTACACTTGCCAGGGCCAGGGCTCAGTCAGGCCTCCTCATCGGCACAGAGGCCAGGGCCTCTGGCTCTTGGTCTCTAGTGGAATAGAAAGTGTTGTGCCATTTGAAATCCATTTCTGGAATGGTCGGTGCCCTGTCCCCTCCTGGTGGGCCCCTTGTCAACAGTCTGTGGTCCTCTGGGTGCCCCCATCCCACACCCTGTCCTCTCCTGCTCTGTCTCAGCCCACTCCAACTTAGAGGCATCCTTCCCTGACTGTCACAGACACACAGACAGACAAACAGATAGACAGACAGTGGCCTGCAGCAGCAGTAGCACATGCGTTTGCCCAGTGCTCCCCTAAGGGAAGAGATTGTGGGGGGCTTGAAACCCCTCAGGGCTGCCCCTCTCAGCTCTCAGTCCATCTGGGATGTGTCCAATGGGGAGGGAGGGATAACAGGGGCCCATGGGCTATCCCAGGGTGCTGCACGGGTTGGGAGGGGAGAAAGGGGAGGGGAGGCTGGGATGGGTCCGGGCCGGCGGGCGGCTCGGTCTGTGGGCAGGAGGCAGTGAAACACAGCGAGGTCCGAGAGGTGCCTGAGACAGGGGCGCGGCTCGGAGGGTAGCGGGGGGAGCGCAGGTGGCTCCCTGAGCTCACTCGCCTGTGTACAGACAAAAACCTCAGTCAGCAAGCAGCAGGTTAGTGCAGCACGCGCACACGCACACGCACAGCACGCACTCACACGCACAGGCACACACACCTGGCTAGAGCCCTGCTAGATGGAGAGCTGCCTCTAAAGCAGCCGGGGCAGCAGGGCCAAGATCAGCTCAAAGTGATGGGGGACACCCAAGGGAGAGCCTATCACAGGCACCAGGAGCACCCCAAAGCCTGGGGATGGCAGAGGAATCCAAAGAGAGAGAAGCACCGAGACACGGGTTAACACAGAGAAGTGGGGCAGAGTCAGCCCCAGAGCAGAGGAGCAGGCCGGGAACAGGGCTGACCAACTGAGAGACCAAGGAGGTGGCAGCTGCAGGAACAGGAGGCCTGGGGAAAGGCAACCAAGGCAGGTGGAGCCCAGCAGGGGGACCATGGCTGCTAGGGGCTGGGCTCTAGCAGGTGCCCAGGGGCATCTTGGGAAGTTCCCAGAGCTGGCCTCTGCCAGACTTGAAGGATCTGAGCCTCGTGGAAAGCAGGGAGGGATGATGGCTGAGTGACGCACTGTGGAGTGGCATCTGGCCCTGAGGCATCGAGGGGAGGGGTGAGGCAGATGGCCAGGCCACCAGCCAGCGCTTGGGGAGGACAACCCACCAGCCCTCATAGGGTTGCCCCGCTGGGTCTTGCCACCCCTGCTGCCTGAGAGGTCCCCTGCCATTTTGTCCCCAACTCTGGAGATATAGCCTGCTCCCCTGGGACCCCTCAGGTCCTGGTGAAACTCCTTGCCCATCACCCTAAAGGTCCCTCCGAACGGGTCCAGCCACCAGACTCCCCCCACTACCACTCCCCAACCATGACAGCTCCTACACAGCAATGGGGTGTGTAGAGGGCACCAGGGGACAGGAGGAGAGAGGGAAATGGGTGTGAGGGAGGGGCCTAGCAGAACATGGTGACAAAAGCTTAGCCAAGTGTGGAGAAAGGATGGCCGGCAGCAGAAATGGTGTCTGATTTCAGGGACTGGCGAGACTGAGACCGGAAGCAGTCCCATGCAGTACCCGAGCACGGGTAATTTGCGGTGTGGCTGTGGGCACACCACTTTCTATCTGGGCCTCAGTTTACCTAATTACGATAGAAGCTTCTGGACCAGGGAGCTCTGAGTCCTTCCAGCGGCAGCATCCTCAACCTGAGGCTGTGTGAGGGCTGTCAGGAGGGTCGGAGGGGCCTAGCAGGGCCAAGTAGGTTTATGTAGCGTGAGGTGCTCACCTCGGACCTCCAGGCGGGCCTCGCACTGCCGAGCGCCATACTCGTTGACAGCTTTGCAGGTGTAGAAGCCAGCGTCACCCCGCTCGGCAGCCAGGATCCGCAGCCGGCACAGCCCGCCCTCTGCCTCCTCGGCGAAGCGCCGTTGGTCTGGGCGCACGGGCTGGCGGTTCCGCAGCCTGTCAGAGGGGTAAGAACTCAGTCCCGGGGTTCAGGGTCCCGGCCTGCATGTGTGGGAAGGTCAAGGTATAGACTTCTCCCACTGCCCATATCTATCTACTGACCAGGCCCCCTGGGTTTCAGGGCCAGGTTTCCACCCTGCCTCCACTATTCCCCCTGTCCAGGAACTTTCCAGACCACCTTTGCCCACCCTCCCTTCTCAGAACCCGGCTGCAGCTTTGAGTAGAGCTGTGCTATTGATTTAGCCCTTAATAGTTCTTAAATTTCTTGATGCCTTATTTTTATTTATTTATAAGGAACAGATAGCTTTCTCACTTCCCAAAAGGGATATGAAAAAAACTTAGGATGTTTAAAAAATCACAGCAGGGACCAGACAATCAATTAAAAATGAAAAACAGAACCCAAGCCGATAAAAAATAAGCAAGCTGCACAGTCGATGTTCCAGGCACCTGGGGTGTGCAAGGCTCTGCAGCTGAGACCCACACTTAACTCTGGGCTTCCGGCAGCTCAGAGACAAACCGGGGTGGCCGGGCCCGGCACAGTGTTGAGTAGGCCTCAAACGTCACCCTGATGTCAATGGTTGGGGTTGGGGAGGGGTGAGCACCGCCTCCAGCAGTGAGAGAGCCTGGTCATTCAGCTCCAGTGGGCAGACACAAGACTATTTATTACCCAAACCCCTCCCCAGAAGGGGAGGCCCTGAGGAAGCCTGGGATGCTGGGGCAGATCACAGGGAGTCTGTACTGGGCCCGCTCCCTGTGCCCACAGTCGGGCCTCACAGGCCCAGGCTGGGGTGAGGAGCTGGCGGGTGATGCCAAGTGGGTGCTACTCACCAGGAGACCACGGGCTTGGGCTCCCCTTGCACACGGATGCTCATGATGACATCCTGGCCTTCTCGTACTGACTGGTCCATGAGCGACACCTGACAGGGGACCCCAGAGTGTCAGGGCCTCCAGTCAGGGCACAGCTTTGGCTCCTGGGGGTGGGGTGGGGTGGGTGATTTGGGACAGAGCTCTCTTCCACACCAGGCTGACGGGCCAGCTCTGGGTAACAAGAATTAATGGGGCAAATGTCTGGGTCATGCCGGAGTGTAAGCATGACCCCAAAACAAGGAGCACACAGAGAATAAGGCTACATGGGGGCAGAGGACACTAGGCACCAGCTCCAGGGTCTGACCTTGAAGGAGGGCGGTGCTTTGGAGCTTGCGTCTGGAGAACAGCGACTCTGGCTGGGACTGAGCTTCATGGTGGGGGTTCGGGGCCAGGTCTCCCCAGGCTCTGGGAACTCCTCTGGGGGACTCAGGTACTCTTCATCGGAGGTGATGGGGCTGCTGAAAGGGGACGTGGATCCACCTGTTGGAGAGACAGAGAGATGCCGGGGCAGAAGGCGTGCAGACTGAGCTGGCTGGAACATGGCACAGGGCCCCACCTAGACTCCCCTAACCTGGGCTCCCATGCCCCCTGGCTTTCTGTGTTATTGCACCCAGGAACTTCCTCCTCTTCCTGAGCCCCTGGATCCTCCTCTGCCACAGATCTGGCCAACACTGACCCTGCTGGCCCTCCTGGGAGGAGAAACCACAGGGAAACTCGGACAGCAGCAGGTCGCCCCTGGACCTTGTGGGAGACCCAGAATTCTACTGGAGCAGGGAGCCCACATTCCTGGCATGGAATAGGGACCCAACTACCAAGCGTAGGCTCTAAACGCAGGTGGCACATGACTCTGAGACCCCTTGAGCAGCATGGGCAGGACACCCGTTTCCTGGGTGAGCTGGGCCTGGTGCAGAGGAACATGCGCCTCAGACCAGCCCCATCCTGACCTCAGTCCAGGGCCAATGAGGCGGCACTGTCCAGCCTGCCCCTCCCCCTCCCTTCTCAGCTTCCTGCCGCAGAAACCCCAGGGTACCTGCTGGCCCCAGCCCTAGAGCATGGACCCCAGAGCCCTCAGGGGACTGGAGGGCAGGGTTAGTTGTCCACAGCAAAGGACTGAAGGGCCTGAGGAGGACAAGGGGGGCTCAGAGTCTGTCTTGGGGGAGGGGTGTCCCCAGGGCCCTGACGCCCTCCCCTGCGACTGGCTAGGGGCCCAGGCTCGCTGAGCTGGCTCCTATCCGACTGCCAAATACAGACATGAATCTGCCACAGCCCCCTGGTCCCTCCCCCTGGTTCCCCCATCCCAAGCCCCCAGCAGGGCTGCACCCCAACTCACCCCGACACTCTGCACACGGACCCCAGCCTGCGCCTGTCCCAAAGGTCCTGGCCTGGCCCCTCAGCTGCCTGTCCAGGGCCCACCCTGCCTTGCCTCCTGAGGGAGCAAGAGTCCGGGCTGCCCAGCCCCACTCACTGGGCTGACACGGCTGAGGCCCCCAGACTGAGCAGGCCCTGGGGGAGGGGAAGAAGCCTGAGGAGGGGAAGAAGGAGGGGGAAGGCTGAGGCTGGGTGGCAGGCTGGCGGCTGAGGCTGGGAAGGTGGTGCCTGCTGAGACCACAGCTGCCCTGGGTGGAGGGGGAGGAGCGGGGAGGGGCCGAGCACGCTGAATTTAGCTGCCGCTCATTCCCAAGCAGCAGGTCTGTCTTTTCTCTCCACACAGCCTCTGGGCCCTGACAAGAGCAAAGCCCCCTCAGTGGCGCCCTGATGCCATTGCGCCTCGGTTCTCAGAGACAGTGGGGGGTGGCGGCACCGCACTGTGGCATCCACGACGCTTGCCCTGACCCATTAGTTCCGACCTGCCCACCAGAGGAGGAGTGGATGGAGATGGCCCCGCTGGTGGCCCCTGCCCGGACAAGCCACTGAGATCCTGGACCTGAGAACTAACGGAGAGCCTCAGACACCACAGAGCCAGGCAGCCAGCGGGTTCTCTGGCGCTGCGACTCAAAGAACTGTCAGGATATCCGCCCTCCTTCTGAGAAATGCCCCCCCAAGCTAAGGGGGCCCAGAATCTCCCCTCTGCTGCCCTATCCCCATCCTGGCAGGCTGGCCCTGCAGCCACCTAGGACACGGGACGGCATGCAACCCTCCCACAGGCTCTGCCCCACACCTGCTGGCAACCTGCCCTTCACCCATCGGTCCCACCGGGGCCAGTGGAGGAGAGTGGGTGCTGCTTCCTCACATGGCCCCTCATTAAGGAGCTCCATCTGTTTCTGGGTTGGGGAAGGGGCTTGGAAACAGAGGGGGTGCTGAACAGGGGTCACATGCCTTCTGCCTTCTCAGAACACTCACCCCTTCCATGCCCACATTCCCGAGCTATGACCTGCGTTTCCCAGCATATCTGGGGTGGGAGGAGGACTCGGGCCAGGCAGAGGAGGGGCCCACCCTCCAGGCTGGCGATCTTGAAGTAGAGGTGGGGAGGGAAGTCTGAATGGCACTTGCACTCCAGGCCTGGTCCCCCACTGATACTGAGATTATAGGCATAGCCCTTGGAGGCCTGGCCCTTGGAGGCTGGAGCCACTTTCCCCTGCTCTAGGGTCACCCCCAGGTGAGACAGTGTTGACCCCCCTGCTCCAGGGTTATCCCAGGCAGGACAGTGCTGAGGAGACTCACCCACCCAGGGAAGGTGCAGCAGAGATACATGCTGGATTGTCAGGTTTGCCAGGAGCCACAGAGACCTCTGGTGGTGGCTGCAGGAGCAGCACCCTGGGGGCATCCAGCCACTGGGTAAACTGAAGTCTTCACACCCTTGGAAGAGCCAGGCCAGCCCAGGAGACAAGGCCTTCCCCTCCACCACTCCCAAGCTGTATGGCCAAGGAGGTGATCGAGGACCCCTGGAGCTCCGCATCAGGCCCTCAGCCCACCTAGTTTTCACTGGTTCCACAGCTAAAACCATCTCTGTAGTCAGGTCCTACTGTCCCAAACCTGCTCCACCCGCATCTGGCTTCCACCCTGGGAAACACAGTTACACCAGCCAGGAAGGGGGACCAGGTATCCTTCCTAAATTTAACAGGCAAATACGCTCATCGGCCCTGAACAACCTGCCATGGAAGTACCACCCCTTTGCACGTGCACCCCTCATGCATGTCAACACAACTCCTCGGACGAGGTCGCTTAAAGAAAACTCTGGCATCAGGGATCCCGCCCTCCCCACACTAGCACGTCTGTCTGGTCCCAACATCCTGTGTTCTCCTGTGGGGACAGCTGCAGCCACCACCTCCAGTATTTAGTACAAGAAAGGTGTCACTCAGGTCCTGCACATCAGGCCTGCTCAGGGTGATCCTTGACCACCTCCATCAGGACCACCTGGGAGTGAGTCTAAACTATAGTCCCCTGGGCCTTACACCAGCCTGCAGGATCAGGTTTCTGAAATGGGAGTTCAAGAAACTGCATGTGTTTTTAATTTTTTAGAAAGAGATTTTTGCTATAGGGCATGTGTGCTCACCGGAGAGACAGAAAGAGACAGAGAGAAATCATCCCCTGGGAGGATGGCTATACTACAATCTTTTCCCTACCATTCTCCTCTCAGGATTTTGGACACACACACACAAGCCCCATTTAAGTTTCAAGCTGCTGAGTCTGAGATTCAAACCATGGTCAGCTATATGGGAGTCCAGTACCTTAGCTACTATGCCACTGTCTGGCCCCAAGAAACTGCATTTTTAAAAAATCACCCCAGGTGATGGCCAGCAGATGGTATGGAGGTTGGGGAGGCTGGATCTCACATGGCCAACTATGTGGTTTGAAAATCACACCAGGCACATGTGCATACATGCCCAAAATCCCAAGAGGAGAAGAGAGAAGGGATTGTGGTATGGCCATCCCCTCTAGGGGGTGCTTTCTAACCTCCCCCTCTATCTGTCTCTAGCGAGTGTACATGCAAAAAAAAAAAAAAAA